ATGTTGCAGAGGGACTTACATATTCCATTGAACAATCTATTTTGACATATTTTCCTTTGAATGTTGTACTCTACCTATAAAACAATTAAGTTGCTCACAATTTATTTGTTTTCTATATATAAGCTAGGGCTTCTTCTTGTACTGATTTTATTCACAGAATTTGATCTCTGAACACTCAGGATTCTTTTCCCATGGCCTACACAGAAAATTAATTACAAATTATAGCAAAAGAACAATTTGAGAAGTGTTATAGATGCACACACACACAGAGTATGATGATGTTTATGAAGAAACCATAGTCACATTGTGCTTTTCTGAGTTACATTTAAAGTTACTTAGAGTGATTTGGGAAAGGATATCATTCACATTTAAATACCATTTCAAATATATTAGATACAATGTGAATTTACTATTTTCTAATTTTAAAAGAAATTATGTGCATGAATATGAAATAAAAGTTTCCTGGAACTTTGCATAGTTAAACTACGCTTCAGGACCAGGATTCTTTCTCTTATTTAAAGAGGGCCTGAATTAGTACATGAGGAACAAGTTCAAGATGAAGTGTGGGCACATTTAAGAAGTACCTAAAATATTTAGAGGGTTTTTAAACAGATTTTGAAGAGTCTAAGTAAAGTGAGTAAATTTGATCTAAAGCAATGTGATGCCGTCCTTGCTTCTAAAACATGAGGCCAGAGCATAGAGGTTGGGGATACATGGAGGGACCCAGAATGCATGAAAATCAATGGGCAGGTGATTTTGAGAACAAGGTTCTCTTTTTAAGTAGGGATTGTAACTTATAATAGCCATATTTTATATATATATATGTGTGTGTGTGTGTGTGTGTATGTGTTGTGTGTGTGTGTGTGTGTGTGTGTGTGTGTGAGAGAGAGAGAGAGAGAGAGAGAGAGAGAGAGAGAGAGAGAGAGAGAGAGAGAAAGAATAAGGCAATAAGAGTTAAGATAGGAGTCTTATTTGGAGAATGGGGACATTTAAGTGGATACAGAATAATGCTAACACACATTATAGGCCTTCATAGAGCTTCACGGCAGTAGCTTGTGGACCCAATGGTTCACTCCACATGAATTAATAGTTTGTCATTATGAAGAACATTTGAAAAACCACTCCTGATTTCCAGTAAGCCACAAGAAGAAATAACTACATTCAAGTGTCTACATTGGTTGAGAGATACTTCACAAGGTAAACATGGTAGGGTCAGAGAGAGAATAATAAACACACAACTAAGCAAACAGTAACACTGAAGTGCATGTGTGTGTTTGTGTGTGTGTGTGTGTATCCTTCACATATATATTCATATATACTTAATATATACAATTAGTATTTATATACCTGGTAACAATCTACCAAGGGATGCAATAGGCAGGAGTTTCAGAAAGCCCTGAAGGCAGATATGCAGGTCTATTTAAACTTTTCACGTCAATCAATAAATTAAACAATATTTCTACTTACATATCATATAATTCTTTTGACTTTAGACTTCTAGCACACATTTGTGTTTTACTTCTAACAACACAAATGATATTAATAATATCATAATAAAATAAATTAAAAACTACCTACCAAGTAAAAATACTCTCATCATGGTTTCTGTTTATAACATTCAAAGGAAGAAATAGGTTATATAACAATTGCTAAATACTGAGCAAATATTCTGAATGAGAATCCTAGCAACAATATTCATTTTCTTCTAGGGCACACAGATTTCAAATATATACTATCATTGTAAGTTCTATCAGAGGTAGTTGGTTGAGAAAAAATTTAAACCAAGAATCATTCAGCAGAAAACAAACAAACAACACCTTAAGACACATGGAATTTAACAACATGATAAAACATAAAAACTTTGTTTATACTCCATTAAGAAGGAAAAATAACAAGCTCAATATAATAAGAATATAGGGCACTATTATTAGTACAAACAGGGGTGAGAGACACAATGAGTGGTTTCTTCCATTTGATCCATTGTAGTAGGAAGGTTAAAATATACTATCTTGGTGTGAAATCAGTTTGCATGTATTCCTTGGAGAAGCATTGTTTTCAAAGAGTAGTGTACACACACACACACACACACACACACACACACACACTCACTCACACATACACATACATCTTATGCTCACATCCTTGTGGCAAGGAGCATGAAGATGTTGAAATAACCATAAATATTGTTGAACATAAAGCAGTCAAAATTGTCTGACAGTTCATATAAGAATGGAATCTATCACACAAAATCGCTTTAGTGATGACTGAAAGAGAAATTCAGAGAACCAAGATGCAGGTGAACAGTGTAACAGAAACATGCCAATGAGCCTTAGAGGCAGAGGAAGCTTGACTAGAATGCCACATGTTTGCCTTTAAAACTAAAATATACAGAAGGGAAAAGTATGAGATAAATTTCCTAAGGTTTGATGGAATCAATAAGGGACATATCCAGTATAATTTTACATATTTATACTATCTTTGTTAAATGTTTCATTATAGTACTTTATCAATTTAAATAAGTTGTTACTATAAAAAGATAAATGTCAAAAGGGAAAACACTAACTCTATATTAAAATGTTTATGCAATAAAATATATTTTTTTACCTTTTAAATCATTTTGGGGGCTGGGAAAATGGATCTGTAGTTAAGACCACTTGCTTCTTTTTAAGGGGACCTATGTTCAGGTCCTAGCATCCAGGAGCAAATCACAATTGCAGTTAACTCCTGTTCCAGCGGCTCTGACAAACTCTCTAGCCTCTGTGGACACCACCTACAAATGGGGCACTTACATACAGACAGACAAATACTGAGAAAAACAAGAGTTAGTAAATGTTAAAATCATATTTTATAGCATTTTGAAGTAGTAGATATTATTATTATTATTATTATTATTATTATTATTATTTATTTTTTTTTTTTTGGCATAAGAGGTGTGTAGCGGGAGAGTTTCTCTCCAGTTCCCACCAAGGCCCAGCAGTCCTGCAGCCCACTTATAAAATAAACACACAGAAGCTTATATTATTTAAAATGTTTGGCCTAATGGCTCAGGCTTCTTGCTATCTAGTTCCCATATCTCAAATTAACCCATATCTATTAGTCTACATCTTGCCAAGTGGCCTGTGGCCTACCGGTTGCTTGTCATGGCAGCAGCTGGCAGCGGCTCTCTGACTCTGCCTTCCTGTTTCCTCAATCCTCTTCTGTTAGTCCTGCCTATACTTCCTGCCTGGCTACTTGCCAATCAGGATTTTATTTATCAGTCAATCATAGCAACATATATTTGCAGCATACAGGACATCTCACAGCAGAGGTGATCAAGTAACACTATAAATTTGGTGGTGCTTTCTAATTTAAAACTTACAGAAAAAGGTCCAGATTAATTAATTTGTTTCAAATAACAAAAATATTATATGGTTGAGCTGAAATTCCAAACTATTTAACTGACACTGAAACAAGTCTCATCTTCTTCTGTATCCCAATATTATATTTTTAGCTATGCTCAGAATTGGAAGCAACTGTCTGTCCTGCCTAATACTATCAATTTGCTGTATAATAGGTATGCACCTACACAGGAGGCTCTGATTTGTCATTTCTCAAAGGGTAGGAACTCTAATTTCCTAAACTACATGTTTGGTTTGCTTAGAACTGTGCCTGGGCTTAACAGTGCTTACATTATAGAAGTTCAATAGTGTGAAAAGCTGTGATAGTGACGTCAATGAGATAGTGAGGTTTTTAATATTAAATGATGAGTTGTAAGTTAACATAGAAAACAAGAACATGAAGTGAAGGAGATGAGGGAGGATGGAGGTAGAGTGGGGATTAAATGTGATAAAAATACATTGTATTTAATCCTCAAAGAATTAATGAAATATTATATTATTAAAAATATGCATATGATAGACTCAATACAATCAACTATATATAAAATTTCATGTCACAGTGATTTCTAAAATTCATTTTAATAACCATACAATATCAAAAATAAAGTGATAATGGTAATAATTTTTATATCAAGACAATATTTTATATGATTTTTAAATTTATTCTAATATCAAATGCTTTTCACTTGTAGTATCAATACATGGCAATATCTATGTGCACAGAAGACTATTGAAGACTATAAGTCCCTCACTATGGCCTTAGAGACCTAATATTTAGAGGCAGGAAGAGATCCATCTCCTTCAAAAGATTCCTTAAAAGGCCTTAAATATTTGTAAACATTTTCATTTTAAAAGCAAACAAACAAAATAAAATAAAATAAGCAAATCTCTGTGTAAACACCACTTCCCCAGAAATAGAACCTGAAAGTGAGGTCTACATTTCTCCTCCTCTCCTTAACATTAATATATGCAAATGCTGTATTGTAATTTTCACATCTCCTGTAAAAGGGCAGTCAAATGTACTTCCAAGAATCTGGTAGCTATGGCTTTGTTGCTAGTGACACTGGCAGCAGATGCTTTGCAAACTGGATAAATACCTTGGACCTGAGAGAGAAACTGAAAGAACACATCCCCGGGGTTCCTTTATTTACTGACTACCTCACTGATTATCTGCTATGCTGAAGACATTTCTTAAATAATTGATACTCCTGCAAGGAGTTTGCTCTGTAGTATCATAAATGCAAATAGAACTAAAAATCAAATATTTGTACATCCACTTATGTGGATCCCAATGCCCGGTAGAATATTAGATAGTTAATGAAATCTCTATTTTATAGATCCTTGCATAATGCATTCTTTAAAGTTTGTGTACATATGACCAGAAACAATAACATCTAACTTTTAGGAACTGTGATAATACACTCCAATTACTACATAAATAGAATTTTCACAACACATATGTGCCAAATCTTAAAAAGTTTATTTTAATTGTACAATATGAGAACATTTTGGAAAGCTATATGAACTTTTGCAAAATTATAAAAAGGAAATGCTGGCATGTATAAAGTGCTGATTTAAAATAGAAATATTTATGTAAAGCGGTACATAGCAATACAGCCTTTTAATTCAATGTATTGGTTTCTATATGCAGGTCATAAAGCAACTTCATTTCCTTTCATATTCTTTTCAAACTCACTTGTGTGACTGTTTTGGAGACAAATTCAGAGGTGGTTATTCAGGTATTTTTAAGCCTCAAATAGTTCCAGTCAATGAGGTGAAGTCTGAGTCTGTATGCAATCAGAACTTTGAACATCAGTTAAATAAAGATGTCTCATCTCTGCTCTCAATGGTATACTAAGATATCAAGCCTTCCCTTGAAAGAAAATGCCAATTCTCCATCCTTGGTTTTTCCAACTTCTTTACTCCCTGGGTTCCTCTTCTGTTTCCAGCCTCCATCCCAATGTAGAATTCAACCAGAGGAGAGATGAATTGGAGTCATACCTTAATTCTATTTCTTTTGGAACTCTTTTACAAATTGGGGGCTATTCAGCATGATTTTTATGTGTGTGCTTTTCACAATCTTGAATCTCCATCTTGAAGGCTCTACAATTGCAGATAACTTGATGTGAGTGTCTTTTTGTGGCTCAGCAAAAAGACTTGTCCTCTTGTCTCTCTCCGACTTAGCTTTGGCTTTTATGGGATACTCCTATGCCATCCTCAATTCTGCTCCACTTGATGAGGTGCCTGCAAAATGGAAAAGAATCTGGCTCAATGGAAAATTGTACCATCATGCAGTTCTCAGTTCAATCACTTCATGCAATCACTGATATCCTTTTACTTTCATGATTCACACATTTCAGGCTCACTGTTGTGCCCATTTATTATCTGCATACAAAATTTAATGGTAGTTTTATGACAATATTAATGTAAATATGAATAATAGCACCAAACTAGAGTTATTTAATAATATTATCTTTACCACTGTATTTTTTCCCTCCAGACAATAGCCACTCCATGCAAATTTTCTTAATAGATGATGAGACAACAACCAAAATTCATTTTATACTTCTCATTTGCTGAATCTAGTAGGTCCCATTGATATATGAGTTTTCTTGGATACAGTCCCTCCTCTGAGAAGAGTGATTCAATTTCCACAAGTGGGTGACCCACACACAATGTGGACAGAAATTGTAGCAGCAATAATAAGACCACTCCAGCCTTTGCTGTCTCTACCACAAAGTCTGTTGGGCTTCAGTCTTCACAAATACAAGAAAGGTTGTTGAATGTCATCTTAACAGTACACAATTTTATAATAAGCTGTCATCAATTTATTGGATGTATTCCTGTTGTTCAAGTCTTAGATGGTCTTATTGATAAAAATCCAGAGACAGTTATCAGGGTGAAAACTGAAAGGTCAGAGAAGCAGAACAGCCTGTCATTAGCTCTTACCTCTACGAAATCCACCGTCTAAAGAGAGTGAGTTTCTGTTTCCTCATACTTTATATACTTTTCTCTTCCCAGACATCACTTCTTGGGATTAAAGCCATGTACGTTTGCCAGTACTGGGATTAAAGGTGTGTGCTACCACTTCCTGGTCCTGTTTCCAGTGTGGCCTTGAACTCACATAGATCCCAATGGATCTCTGCCTCCCAAGCGACAGGATTAAGGTTGGGTGCCACCACAGCCTGACCTCTATATCTAATTTAGTGGCTGGCTGGCTCTGTCCTCTGATCCTCAGGCAAGTTTATTAGGGTATACAATATATCACCACATACTCCTCTAAATTACTCTCTTGAAACTGTAATCTTCAATGCAATAATATTTGGAAATGATTGTAAGTGTCAGAAGGAAAGCAAAGAATGAGATTGGTTATATCATAAACTAATGATATTCTCTCTCTCTCTCTCTCTCTCTCTCTCTCTCTCTCTCTCTCTCTCCCCCCCCTCTCTCTCCTCCTCTTGGCACTTCTCACTCTCAGTCTATCTCTACCTCCCTATTATGGGGATTAACAAGGCAACCCCACGTAGTTAAAAAGGAGGTTTATTTTGAGGCAATTTACAGCCAGTAAAGGGGTTAATTACAGGATCTGGGAGAGGTGAGCTGTAGTTCAGCTGGGTTCTCTTGAGAACTCTGCTCAGTCTACCATCCAGCATCCAGGATCACCAGGAACCAAGAGGGCCAGCAGACCCAGATCTCAGGTTTTAAGGGCTCCTCTCCTCACCACACCCCATGGGCAGGTCCTAGGTAGGCATGGCAGTTACAGGCTGCCTCACTGGGGGTAGTACTTTCAGGTTAAAGCTGGAACAGCTACCCACTACACCTTCCACTCTCATCTTCCTTCTCTTCTCTTTCCCATTCCTCCTGTCTCAATACTGATGAAAGGCTATTTACGGGGGTATCTTAGAGATGACTTCTTACAGGGCAGGAGAAACCATTCTAGGAAGTCAATGGGTTGTACCTTGATTTTAGATTTCTATTCTCGAGAATAATGACACTGGAACAGATGTTTTTGTTCATACACCTAATATATGTATTCGTATGAATATTTGTAACAAGCAAAACACAGGTAAATTCCAAAGCTCATAACTCTTGTAAACATGCCAAAATTTAACAGACAGGTGGTTGTGTCTTGATTTGAACCTGGCATTGTTTGACTTTACTGGCTATCCTTTTAGTAGAGCCTTATTTATAGTTCTGAAACTACTTAATCTCTAATATACAGTATTGTTGTTTTTTTCTCTTTTTTCATAGCTACATTCATCCCTTTATAAATTTACCAGAGTAATTGTCTGGGCTGATATTTTTCACCATTTTCACCCAGGCTGTATACCTGTTGACTGTGTTTTGTGCAGTTATGAACTTCTTTGACAGGAAATATGTACAGATATATTCAGTTCATTATGTGTACATATATGTTTTATATATTTTTACTTATAGTATTTCAAATTGTATATAATACTATCTTGATGTCAACCTATTTTTATATACAATGTAAATATTTGGAAAGAATCTTATCAGCAACATTGTGTCTGAATATATGGTTTTAATATTACCTAATATAGATTTTAAGGGTCTCTTTTCATGTTGAATGATGACAAATAAGTTACTCAGGGCTTACTTTTTTTTTTAGAAAATATGTCAAAGAGACATAGAAAAAGCCAAATGATATATAATATGAACTAATTCTGTATAAATTCTCCCAGGCTTTGTTTACTGATTTCTGTATTTGAAGAGTCTTCTTTATAAAAGAATAAAAGAAATGGTCTAGAGTGAATGCAGCAGGAATATTTAGCCTACCAGCCCTTCAGAGAAAACCTATTCAAATTCCCTGGATCCAATTAGGCTGTTGACATACTTCCTTATCTGATTATAAACAGCTTAAATTGCTTTCAAATGATTTCAATAATATGCATATCAGAAATCAGTCAAGTATTTACATATTGATGTTCTTTAAAGATGATATTGACTTGGCATTCAATCAAGTGTGTAAAGAATAGCAGCAGAAATGTTGAAAGGGCTCAGATGTAATGATCACAAACTTATTACAATTAAAATATTCCAGCGAAGATCTTGCTGGAGTGTTAAACTTCAGAATATGTAATGTATTTCAATATGCTTTGATCATGCTCATGTTTTACTGAGTAAAATGTAAGAAAATGTTGTTTCTAGATACCTACTTCACTGGAAAAATAAAATGAATTCGGATTTGCAACTTCATAAACCATATTTTCAAGTAAAGTAATTAAACTGATATCTAGCTCAAAATTGTTTCTAGATGTAACTTTTAAAAAATAAACCTTCTAATAATTTGGACCATTTTCTTTTGAAAGAAGACCAAGAGGACAAACAGTTTTACAGACATAAATGATACATAGCACAGTAAGGCATGACCTTCAATTTTCTGAGCTACATTTTTTTCAGAAGAAACTCCAGAATTGAAATGCAGAAGCTTCTATGTTTTTTTTTTTCATTTCTAAGAACTTGATACTGTATTCTTGGACTGTTCACATTGTCTGACAAAATTTAGATAATTTCTACTATAGGTAATGATGACAGGAGTAAAAGCAGGTCGAACAGAAAGTTGTCAACAGCAAAGAAGTAACAGCAAATCAACAGCCCTGGCCAGTGCATGTATGATGTCCTCCTGTGTATGAAAATGTTAATCAGTGTTTATTGCCCTAAGAAGCAGGAGGGCCAGAAGGCCTGCTGCTGCTGTTCCATAATTATATCCCATTAGCAACTGATATTATTTAAGCCTCATTATTGCTCCAAATGAATCAACAACACAAAGCTAAATTTTATGTCAGCATAGATTAGTTGAGTGAGTTCTTACAGTCAATTGAACTTCGTAAGAAAACTTTTGAGAAAAGGACAAAGCCAGAGAAAAAATCTTTTAAGTACTTCTGTTTCAATGATAAAGTCTGACATTCATGCTTAATATTTGCCCAAACTGATACCGATAAAAGTAGCATACGGTATTTGCAGTTTTCAGTACTATGTACTTTGTTTTGGATAAAAGCAAACAAACGTAAGATATTGTTTGTGCACAAGAAATGATACAATATAACCTCACTATGCAAAATTGCAGGCCACTAGGCACGAGTGCTCGACAAGGAAGAAAACAACAATGAAGATACTTCTACCAACTGCATTTTATTTTCAGTTTATGATGCTGTGATGGACCAATTTGGAGGCTATTCATAAATAAGCAAAGTTCTGTCTCAAAATGTAAAAACAAAATATTTCATTGCTAACATTCAAAGTAGAATTAAACTTAAGTTGAATTGCACAGTGTTGCTGGAGGGCTTCTCTCCAGGTTCCACCAAACCCCGCAGTCCCACAATCCACCAATCCACGTATAAATTATAATCACTCAGACGCTTATATCACTTATAAACTGTATGGCCGTGGCAGGCTTCTTGCTAACTGTTCTTTTATCTTAAATTAACCCATTTTTATAAATCTATACCTTGCCTTGGCTGGTGGCTTCCCAGCGTCTTCACATGCTGCTTGTCCTGGCGGTGGCTGCAGTGTCTGTCCCCTCAGCCTTCCGCTTCCCAGAATTCTCCTCTCTCCTTGTCCTACCTACTTCCTGCCTGGCAACCTATTTCTTGCCTGGTCACTGGCCATCAGTGTTTTATTTATATAGAATGATATCCACAGCAGCACAGTCCTAAGCTAGCTAGTTTGAAGGTTAAACTATTCACAAATGAGCAGAGCGCCTTGCTCCACCAGAGGCCATGCCAGTATCCAGACCCCACCCCCCACCCCCCACCCCCCACTCCCCACCCCCCACCGCAGGAGATGCAGGCTGTAAGAACCCAAGCAGAGGCAACCTGCTGGACAAGAGGACTCACCTACCACCAGAAATATAGGCCACTCAGGCCAGAAGACCAGAGAGGAAACGGAAACCAAGGGAAAAACACTCATCCAACAAAGACAAACTCAGAAGTTGCTTCTTAGACCTGAAATTACCCCAAACCCAGATGCCTAGAGGCCAGTGAAGAACACTAAGAACAGCCAGGGCAACATGCCATCACCAGAGCCCAGCCACCCTACTGCAGCAGGCCCTGAATTCCAACACAGCTGAAGCTCATGAAAATGAACCTAACACCAAATTTATGAAGATGATAGAGGTACTTAAATAAGAATTGAGTAAGTCCCTGGAAGAAATCAAGGAAAACAAGAACACACACTTGGAGGAAATGAATAAATCCCTCAAAGAAAGCCAGGAAAACACACATTACAAAAAATTGGAGAAAATGAATAAATCCCTAAAAAAGGCAAAAAAAAAGGCCTAGAAAACAACAACAAACAGGTGAAGGAAATGAATAAAACTGTATAAGGCCTGAAAGTGAGAAATAGAAGCAATAAAGAAAACATAAACTGAGCAAATTCTGGAGATGGAAAATTTTGGTAAGTGAACAGGAACTACAAACTCAAGCATCACCAACAGAATACAAGATATGGAAGAAAGAAATTGATTCATCAGGCAAAGAAAATATTAAATCTGAAAAAATTCCTGACATAAAACATCTAAAAATCTGGGACAGTCTGGGGCGGGGGAAAAAGACTAATGGGAATAGAAGAAGGAGTTCAATATCCGAGTTCAAAGGCTCAGAAAGTATTTTCAACAAAATCATAGAAGAAAAATTTTAAAACCTAATGAAGAACATCCCCATAAAGGTACAAGAAGTGTACAGAACACCAAGTAATTTGGATCAGACAGAAAATAAAGTCCCTATACCACATAATAATCAAAATATTAAATATACATACAGAACAAAGAAAGATTATTAAAAGCTGCAAGGGGAAAAGGCTGAGTAACATACAAAGACAGAACTATTACAATTAAACCTGATTTCTCAAAGGAGATCCTATAAGCCAGAATGCCATGTACAAAGGTTCAGCAGAGTCTAAGAGATGACAGATACCAGCCCAGACAAGTATACCCAGCAAAATTTTAAATAACCGTAAATGGAGAAACAGGATATCCTAAGATAAAGTCAAATTTCACCAATAGCTATCAGCAAACCCAGCCCTATTGGAGATACTAGAAGGAAAATTCAAACTCAAGGAGTTTCACTACACCTATGAAAACATAGGAAATAAATAAACCTAAAGAGGATAAATACACACAGAGAGAGACACAATACCACCAGCCTTACCAACAGCAGCAATATAACAGGAATTAGCAGTCATTTATCAATGGTGTCTCTCAACATTAATGGACTCAGTTTCCCAATAAAAAGACACAGACAAACAGAAAGGATGTGAAAATAGCATTCATCTTTCCGATACATAGGAGAAACATACCTCAACATTAAAGATAAATATTACCTCAGAGTAAAGGGTTGGGAAAAGATTTTCTAAGCAATTTCACCTAAGAAACAAGGTTCTGTAGTGATTCTAATATCAAACAAAATAGGCTTCAAGCCAAGATTAATAATAATAATAATAATAATAATAATAATAATAATAATAATAAAAGACAGAGAAAGACACTTTGTAGACATCAAAGGAAAGATCCACTATGATGGTCTTTTCAATCTTTAATGTCTATGTCCCAAAGTAAAAGGAAAACCCAATTGTAAATGAAGCACTACTAAAGCTTGAATCATACATCAACACCTACACAGTGATAGTAGGAGACTTCATTACCCCACTGTCACCAACAGACTAGTCATCCAAATAAAAAGTAAACAGATAAATAATGGACCTAACCAATATCTACTGAACATTTCACCAAAATACAAAAGAATATACCTTCTTCTCAACACTTCAAGAAAAACTCTTCAAAATTGAGCACATACTTGGCCACAAAGCAAGTCTCAACAGTTATAAAATTGAAATAATCCTAAGACCACTATGGATTAAAACAACAACAGAAACAACAGAAAACCTACATACTCAAGGATACTGAAGACCTGAAGGGATCCTGGGTCATGGTATAAATCAAAAAAAAAATAGAGCTCACCAGAATTAAATGAAAATGAATGCACAACATATGCAAACTCATAGGACAATGAAAGTGGTGCTAAGACTAAAGTTTATAGCACTAAGTATCTAAATAAAAATAATGGAGAGATCGCATACTAGTGATGTAATAGTACACCCAAAGCTCTAGAAAAAGGAAGCAAAGACAAACAAGAGGAGAAGACAGCAGGAAATAATCAAACTGAGGGCTGAAATCAATAAAATAGATACCAAGGGAAAAATACAATGAAACAAGAAGTTGGCTTCTTGAGAACTTCAACAACATAGACAAACTTTTATCCAATCTAACTAAAAGACATAGAGAATATCCAAATTAACAAAATCAGAAATGAAAAGGGGGACATAACAACACATACCCACAAAATCGAAAGAATCATTAAAAAAACTTTCAGACATCAAAAATATATAATCCACAAAACTGGAAAATCTAAAAGAAAAGGATAATTTTCTCAATAGATACCATTTACCAAACGTAAATCAAGATCAGATAAACAATATAAAAGGACTTATAACCCCTAAGGAATAGAAGCAATCTTTGCATGTCTCCCAACCAAAAAAAGACAAGGATCAGATGGCTTTACCACAGAATTCTATCAGACTTTCAAAGAACAAGTAACACAAATATTTTTCAATTTACTCCACAAAAGAGAAACAGAAGGAATATTGTCAAATTTATTTTGTGAGGCCACAATCACCCTGATATCCAAACCACACAAAGACTCAACAAAGAAAGAGAATTACAGAATAATTTCCCTCATGAACATACATGTAAACATAATCAATAAAATACTCACAAACAGAATGCAGGAACACATGAAGAAGATCATCCACCATTATAAATGCAGGCACAGTTCAACACATGAAAACTGGTCAAAGTAATCCACCATATAACCAGCCTGAGAAAAAAATTATACAGAGTTTTCTCATTAGATGCAGAAAAAGCCTCTGAAAAAAATCCAACACCCCTTCATGATTAAAGTTGTGGAGATATTAGGCATACAAGGAACATACCTAAACACAATAAAGGTAATTTACAGTAATTTTATAGCCAATATTAATTTAAATGGAGAGAAACTCAAAACAATTTCACTAAATTCATGAACAAAACAAGGATGTTCATTCTCTTCATATCAGGTCAATATAATGCTTGAATTTCTAGCTACAGCAATAAGAAACTGAAGAAGATTAAAGGGATACAAATTAGGAATGAAGAAGTCAAAATATGGTTATTTGCAGATGATGTGATAGCATACATAAACAGCCTCCAAAACTCTACCAGGGCACTCATACATTTGATAAACATCTTCAACAAAGTGGCTGGATATGAGATTAACTAAAAAAGGGGAAAAATCAGTAGTGTTCCTATATACAAACAACAAATGTGCTGAGGCAGAAACCAGGGAAACAATGTCCTTCACAATAACCACAAGTAATAAAAAATATCTTGGGAAAGGTCTAATGAGGAAAGTAAAAGACCTATATGATAAAAATTTCAAGACTTTGAAGAAAGCAATTTAAGAACAGAGAGGGAGAACAAGGCATGGGAGACCATGGTAAATGAAGACCACAGGAGAAAAGGAAGAAGCAAAGTGCTAGAGAGGTCCACAGAAATCCACAAAGATACCCCCACAATAGATTGCTGGTAATGGTTAAGAGACAGCCGGGACTGACCTACTCTGAAGATGGGATGGCCAAACACCCTAATAGTCGTGCCAGAAACCCCATTCAAGGACTGAGGAATCTGGATGTAGAGAGCCACGGCTAGGCCCCAGGTGGAGCTCCGGGAATCTAATTAGCAAGAAAGAGGAGGGTTTATATGAGTGAGAATTGTTGAAACCAAGGTTGGATAAAGCACAGGGACAAATAGCCAAACAAATGGAAACACATGAACTATGAACCAAAGGCTGAGGGGTCCCCAACTGGATCAGGCCCTTTGAATAGGTGAGATTGGCTTGATCTGTTTGGGAGGCATCTAGGCAGTGGTACCGGGTCCTGTGCCCAGTGCATGAATTGGCTGTTTGAAACCTGGGGCTTATGCAGGGACGCTTGGCTCAGTCTGGGAGGAGGGGACTGGATCTGCCTGGACTGAGTCTACAAGGTCGATGATCTCAGTCCTTGGGGGAGGCTTTGCCCTGGAGGAGGTAGGAATGGGGGGTGAGCTGGGGGGGAGGGGAGGGGGGCAGGAGGGAGGAGAACAAAGGAATCAGTGGCTGATATGTAGACCTGAAAGGTATTGTAGAATAAAATAAAGGGAAAAAAAAAAAGAATATATAAGAAGATGAAAAGACCTCCCATGCTCATTAATCAGAAGGATTAACATAGTAAAAATGGCCATCCTATCAAAAACAACGAACAGATTCAACTCAATCCCCATCAAAATTCCAACACAATTCTTTACCAACCATGAAAGAACAATATCCAACTTCATATGGAAAAAAAAAATCCTAGGATTGGTAAATAATTCTGTATGGTAAAAGAACGTCCAGAGGTATCACCATCCCTGACCTCAAGCTGTACTACAAATCCTTGGTCGCCTGGGGGATGGTGGGTATTGGAAGAGGGGGATCATGCAGGGGTGGATGGAGGAAGAGACTACTCGGTTATATGAGTGGAACTGGGGTGCATTTGGGGGGTTGATGTGGAAACCTAGTACAACAGAAACTCTTTAGAACCTACCAGGGTGACTCTAGTGAGCAGTAAAGAGGATGCAGAGTCTAAACTGGCCATGTTTTGCAGCCAGAGAAGGCTTCCAGTGGTGGAACTGGGAGATCAAACCAACTGCAAAACCTTCAACCTACAACTTGTCCTGCCTGCCAGATATGCTGGGGTAAAGGTGGCACAAAACTCCTGTTACATCTATATTAAGGTTGTTTAGCTTTATGTTCCTGTGGTGTTCATAATAATGGGGATGGGGTTGTTTCTGACTCTTTTGCCTGATCCTGGGATCCTTTTCTCCCTACGGGGTTGCCTCATCCAGCCTTGATATGAGGGTCTGTGCCTAGTCTTATTGCATCTTGCTATGCAGTGTGCAGTTGCTATCCCTAGGAGGTATTCTCTTTTCTGAAGGGAAATGGAGCAAGAGTCGATCTAGGAGAGAGTGGAGGTAGGGGAGAATACTGGGGGGAGTGGAGAGAGTGGAAATTGTGGTGGGGGTGATGTAATGTATGAGAGAAGAATAAATAATAACAAGTAAGAAGATATTCACATATAAAATGGGTAATCAGATTGCAGGGTTTGACTCAGAATGTCCCACATAGGTACATACATTTGAATACCTAGTACTTAGTTGGTGAAACTCATTAGGTGTTGTGGCATTTTTGGAAGCATTAGGTAGTTGTGGTCATGTTGGAGAGGTCACTGGTCACCAGCTTTGAGACCCGCTCCAGGCCCAGGCTCTTTCTTTTTCTTCCTCCTACTTAGAGATCAGGTGTGAGCTTTAAATTACTGTTCCAGAGCCATGGCTATCTGCCTGTCACCAAGCTCCATGAAATGATAATCATGGACTCCCCTCTGAAACTTTAAGAATGTCAATTAAATGCTTCCTCTAATAAGTTACCTTAACCATGATGTCTCTTCACAGCAATGGAGCAGAAAGTAAAACACAGATCAAAAGTAAAACAAAAATACCTAATTGATTGAATAACTATATGCACAGTGAGAATATAGGAAGTTATAATGAGTTATTTAAGAAAGGAAGCAGAGCTTTCAGCTAGAGACAGACAGAAATAGTAATTCATATTGATTAGGGAGAATAATCAGGAAATATAAAGAAGCATTGTTAAAAAAATCCCCAAAGGATCTTTAAAAATATTATGCTAAAGCAAGGGTAGAGAAAAAAAAAAAAACAGTATATGTGGGGCCGCAGTGGTAGAGCTGCATTCTTCTGGGCGAAGTTCACTAATTGATCCAGGAAAATTATAGAGAAACAAAACAAAAACAAACAAGAACTTAGAAATCATCTCTAAAATGAGACACTTAGCCAATGTTAACATGAAATAAAAGTAAACAAACAAGAACTTAGAAATCATCTCTAAAATGAGACACTTAGCCAATGTTAACATGAAATAAAAGTAATCAGTCAGACATACTATGCTAAGTGATAGCATCATGCAAAAAATTCAAAATGACATTAGATGTTCCTATTTCTAGAGTAATCAATTTTATGGTGACCTTATATCTTTATCTATTACTCTGTATCCTAATTTTATTACATAAATATTACTAAAAATATAAAAACCAAAAAGGGTTTACTCTGTTAATGGATTGGGGGGCTACAAGTACTATAACTAAGATCCATGCATTCTTAACTTCAGGATAGGGTCATTGTCTGCCCCGTGGGCTTAGTGGGGTAGCCATTCCAGCTTTGATCTGGAAGTTCTAACCCCCCATTGAGGCTTCAGTAACTGGCATGCCTACAAGGTGGTCCAAGAGAGGACCCTGAAGACTCAAGATCCGGATGTGCCGGCTCTCTTACTTAGTTCCTGAATCCCGGACACTGGAGGTAGACCAAGCAGAGTTCTCCAGAGAACACCGTGGGACTGCGCTACACCTTTCCCAGACCCTGTTACCTATCCCTTCACTTGTGAGTTACCCCACAAAATAAACCTCCTTTTTAACTACGTGGAGTTGCCTTAATAATTTCACCAATACATGGGTGGCAGAAAAATAAAGGGGTAAAATGGGGTTCAGGCAAAAGAGAAAGGAAATCAAACTGCCAATATTGGTAATCTGTAAACAATCAATCAATCAAACAAAAAGCCTTATTCCAATTAATAACAACCATTCCCCACACCCAAAAATCTAGTAAGATCCTCCTTCCCAACACTACTAAACAAAGCAATTAAGCCGCTGCATGAGTTTTGATAGAGACAATCCATATTCAGACACAACACATCATAAACTTGCTTGTACTTTGTAATATTCATTTCTATGCAGGAAAATAGTAACTGTATCATCTCACAAATCCCTGATTTTCTTAATCTGAAACACATATGCCTTAAATTACATTGATAATGGTGTTCAGTTGGACACATCATCACATCTGTTTAGAGGAAGTCTTTTCTTTTTGCATTTAGCCGTCTGATGTAATAAATCATACTTGAACAGAAAAAAACAAAAATGATACCTTCCACCTGCATATATACAGTCCTGGACAACACCCTACTAATGTAGCCATTAATTGTCAGTACTGTGTTCAGCATTACTCTAAACTTGGGGAGTAAATTTAAATCACTTTTCTTGTTTTTAACTTAAAAAGTGGATTTTTATTTGGAATTTTTACTTAAGGTATACTAAGATCTATACAATATCAACAATGGTCATTCATTTGGATTCATATTACAGTTTCTTCAGTGTGATTGAATGAAGGAATGTTCATTTGTAGCATTGTATGTTATTTCATTGTATTATAGTACAGGCTTTCATTAATCTGTATATGGGTTAATTTCAGGGTATTATTATTATTATTATTATAAACCATGTATTTGGTGACTTGATACATTTGTGTTGTTCCCGTTGGAGGAGGGGGTGAGTACCAGACTCTGGGAGGATGTTGAAACAATAAGCTCAGTTTATTCAGGAAGAGGCAAGCCTTAAAAACCCTCCACCCAATGTAGCATGAATTTAAAGAGTTTGTTTATAAAAACAAACCTGAGGCAGGTACTGGGGTGAATGCTGGAAGATCAGAGAAGCAGAACAAGCCACAGCCACCTCACCTCACCAATTCCTCAGCTGATCCTGTTTCCTCAGACTGGAAGCTTCTGTGTCCCTATCAGAATGGGTCTCAGCTGAACTGTGCTGCTCCAAAGCCTGAAAGCTTAACCAGCCAAATGCTTCTAGTTTCTAGTCCTCCTGCCTTATATATCTTTCTGCTTTCTGCCATCACTCCCTGGGATTAAAGGCTCACTTTCTGGGATTAAAGGCATGAGTCACCATGCCTGGCTGTTTCCAATGTGGCCTTGAACTCACAGAAATCCAGAGGGATTTCTGCCTCTGAAATGCTAGGATTAAAGGCGTGTACTACCACTGCCTATCCTCTATGTTAAATATTGTGGCTGTTCTCTTCTCTGACCTCAGATAAGTTTATTAGTGTGCACAATATTTTGGGGAACACAATACTATCACATTTCCCCTTTTTTGTGTAAAATTTAAAAAAGCTTATAACTAATACAAGAAAAATTATATCCAATAAGTATATACAATATACACAGTCAAGAATAAATTAATGATGTCTAGTCCATTAACATTTGACAAATTCAGACAAAAAACTTCATTAATATATAACAATGTCCAGTCCAGTAACATTTAATAAACTCAGACAAAAACAATTTCATTACTTATCCTATTTAAAACAAGTAGTTCCTTTTAAAAAGTAGATTCTATAATCTCCCTTTTTATCTTATCATATCCAACCCAACCCTAGGGGAATAGGGGAGGTTTGATGAATATGCATCTGATGAATATTCATCTGCTGGTGTGACATGGCTGCTTCTCATTGGTCCAGGTCATCTCAGGTCATGTCTCAGCTGCTAAGGCCCTTAAGCAGACCCCGGTTGGCTCTAGGAAGTATCTTATTACCTGTTTGGGCCAGCTGGCCTTCAGGCCTGTTAGGGCTGAGTCATCCCACATTGTCCATTACTCTGTTTCTGATTTTACAACATAAAATACAAATCACAAAATACTTAACTAATTTTTCCAGAATCTAGAAGTCCAATACATAAAGTCACATAAATATTGAGGATTTTATCCTTTCCTCTGTGTGTACAAGTCCTGATTAATACTCATCCAATTGCTTTTCTTATGGTGCAGTGGCAATGTTTTGGTTTCTTTTTATTTTAAATTTGGAGTATTTGAAGAGGAATATATGTATGTGTGTGTCATGAACATGTGAATATATATGTGTGGGTATGTGCACATCAGGTATCTTTCTTTATCATATTCAAACTTGTGTACTGAGTCAGGGTCTTTGTTGAACTCAGAGTTGAATCTTTAGGATAGTCTGTTTGGCCTGCTTTCCTCAAGGGTTCTCTGTCTCTGTCTGAGTTATGCTGGAATTATAGGAGGGTTTGCCTTCTCAGTTGACTTCCACAGAGGTCCTGGGGTTCTAAACTCCAAACTCTTGCTTGTATAAGTAAGCATTTCACATGCTGAGGTATCTCATCTCATCTTTCCTTGTCATAGAATTTTACATAACTCAAGTTTCCTTTCAACTTGTTGTGTATTGGAGAACAGCCTAGAACTCCTCATCTGCTGCCTTTGTCACCTAAGTATTGGGTTTGCAGGCATCGACCACCGTGCCTGGCACTTGCTATGCTTTAAAACATTTAAATGTTTTACTTAATAACTCTGAGTGTTTTTATAAGACAGACAATTTACACTTCCACAAACTATACCCAAGAAGCCGATTTTCACTCCAACAATTTTTAGAAAGTGTTTCCATTTGAGAAGTCTCCTGAGAATAGCCAAGTGAGTCATCAGAGGATTATTTAGTGCTCTAGCAAAAGTTTATATGACCTGATTTGCATTCAGACTCATACAGATGGAATCTCACAGAACTGCTTTAATGTAAAATATCTACCCCCATTTCTGTCAAGCATTATCACCCTGACCACATGAAGTAAATATGCCTTCGATAAATAACTCTTTGTAATTTCATGTGATATAATCCAAGGATTGTGTAGACCTTCAGTGACTCTTTTTCTTCCAACATTCATAAATGATTGCATCAATCATAACCAAACATTCAGCCATCATGAATTTCAATAGGAACACATTACTATTTTTTTATGTTTGTGTGAAACTATGATGTATATACTATCCCCAAAAAGTTAGAAAATGTGTTTGGTTCTATAATTTCCAACCCATATTTATTGTATGCTTTTCTATTCCTGAATGTTATACAACCCAAATCTTGTTCAGTCAAGCTATCCTGTGTGAAAATTTGTAAACCAACAGCATATCCTTGTATAGGTGTCAGAAGAAAAGTTTTTATTTTATTAAAATATTTAGTTATGAATGCACCCATCTAATTTTACCCATAATATATCCCTTTTAGGTGTAAATCATCTTAGTTTCTTGCACTGACATGTCAGGTAAGAAAGTCTTTCTTGTACATTTGTCACTGTTTCCTGATCTTAAAGGAATGAAGAGTAGAAAGTTACTTTTTCTGAATGTAAGTGGTGTCTTCATGAAATAGAAAATCACGCTGTCTGACAGATATACAACAAGGTTGCATTTTTAATCATGAAATGAGATCCTGAAGTAAGACAGCAAACTTGACAAACACTAAATTGTGCCTATAAGTGTAATAAAATTTAGAATATGCTGAAAATTTTGCTCAGAGGAATAACAGTATGCATCACTTTTTAGTCCATCTTTCCATTTAGCACACCTCAGGCAAGACACATTGCTTATCAAACATTTCCCAGTTTTAAACCTCCCAGAGCTCGGACTTCACCTTGAGGGATATAAACAACTGTGGTGAAATGCCATTGGCAGTCAAACTGGCATCTGTTTAGGAGGAGTGGCTTGCGATGCTTCCTCAGACAAAGCTTCCTAAATAAAATGAAAACACTTTAAATATTTCAGAAAATTAACTCCATTTTTCTTATTTTGAAAATCACCTTTTGTGTGTTGTTTTGGGCGTTGTTTATTTTGAGACAGAACTACTTCGTTATATTACATAGACTGGCCTTGAATTCACTGTTGAGCCCGGGCTTGAATTCCCTTTAGAGAATGAGAAGAAGCCATATTATAAGAAAAGATAATGATTGAAATTTCTCCTCCAAAATTAAAGAAATAATTTATGTAATAGACTATAATATCTGAGCAAACACAACTTAGTTGAACAAAAAGACATCTATAGAGAAAAGTTAAAACAAATTTGTAGAAACGGTAAGTATTCAAGTACACCAGGAGAAACAAAAGTCCCCTCAAACATCAAATATTCTGACAGACAGCTTTGTTGTGTGATATTTTCTTTGTGCTCTAACAAATGATGCTTGTCTGGAGACCAGAGGGTGGGGCTAGCCAATAGTTAACCATAGAGGCCAGTCAGTGGTGGCACACACTTTTAATCTCATGACTTGGGAGGAGGAAGAAGGAAGATCAGGAGTTCAAGGCCACCCTGGGCTACAGGATATAGAACCAATCTAAAAGAGAAACAGCTGGGTGCTGGGTGGTGGTGGTTCCCACCTTTAATCCCTGGACCAGGGAGATGGAGACAGGCTCTTGGCCCCCATTTGGTCTGAGGATTTGTAGAGGTAAAAAGTTTCTAGTAGCTGCCGCTCTGCTTCAGCTTTCACCCTCCAGATCTGACTCCAAGTTTTTAATGTTAAGACTAATTGGGATCTTGCTTCACAGCTTGTTAACAGATATGATGAAATTCACATAACAGTGTTAGATTCTTCAAGAGCCTGAAAGAAAATGTGTGCAACATGACTCTGTGAAAATAATAATTCACACACACACACACACACACACACACAAAGATGCTTTCAAAGGAAAAGTGAAATGGATCTATTTGTTAGGGTAGACCTTAGAAGCAAGAAGGCTTACTTGTGAACATCTTCTAGAAAGCACTATAAAAAGAAACACAAAATAGCTTACTGTGACAGGGAAAGAAAATAAGATGGAAGATATGAGAATGATTTGTAACAGCAAAAAAACTGGGAGTGTCATAATCATTGGAAAATATGGAGGATTACTGTTGATATAAAAGAGTATTCTTTAAGACTTTATGTAGTTCAAAAATTACACAGTAAAATTCTTGATATTAGCTTCCCATACAGAGAGGAAGCAAAAAGAGTAGCCATCACACACATTTAAGATGAAAGATTTGTTAATCCAGAATAATTATAAGAAAATAAAAGATGTTATTTAAAAAAAATCCACCTTAAAACAGTTGGAAAATGAACAATAATAGAATCAATATGTCATAAAAGATTAAAATAATTGTAATAAGGGATAAACCAGGTATAACAAGTAAAATGTGATGAGTAATGATAGTATCCACCCCAAACCTGCAAATTACACAAAATTTAAATATATCACATGATCCAATATTTATAAATCATAAGTTTTCAGACTTCATTTATAAATGTTTTAATAAAAGTAATATCTAAGCATAGAGGGATACAAATCTAAAATAATATTGACCGATATACATTCAAGAAACACACAATGATATTGAAAATTTTAAACCATTAAAAAAAACGACAAAGGAAATTTTTCTGTGATAAGGCTTTTCTTGGGAAGAAACACTGCATACATCTATTCACCCCAGATTGAGGGACCTCCTCAGACAAAAAGTAAGGATAGCACCAAAGTCCAATTTTGTGAGCCGATTTGTTCTAGTGGGGTTACTCACAGGAATAGGGGTTAGGGGTTACTTACAGGAAAAGAAATGATTCAAGCACATCTGCATCATCACCAAAGTCCACCCAAGCATGGAGTATAGCTCACAAAAGCTAGGAACCTGGAGCATGCTGCCCAGGCTGCAGGCAACTCAACAGGTTGCAGAGAATCCCTTATAAGTTAAGTTACTCAGTTGGTCCAATCCTCTTCTAGGCCACTGGGCTAGTGTCTCTTTTTCCCAGTCAGCTTGTCAGATCTCAGAGTCTTCCTGGCAGCTTATCTTGTCCCAGAGTGACTCTCAGAAACTTTGTTGCTTTCTTTGGGAGTGTGGGAGGTGAGGATGAGCTGGAGTGGGGCTAGTGAAGCTGATCTTTTCAGGGACAACCTGAAGCTATTTTGAGGAGCTTACCTTTCTGTTTAAGGATTTTTGTAGCAGGAATCTTAAAAGTTCTTATTAATAAAATCAAACCCGAGGCCAGTTATTGGGGTGAATACTGGAAGGTCAGAGAGATAGAACAAGCCACAGCTATCTCACCTCACCAGTTCCTCAGCTGGTCCTGTTTCCTCAGACTAGAAGCCTCTGAGTCCTCATCCAGAATGAATCTCAGCTGAACTGTGCTGCTTAAAAGCCTGAAAGCTTAACCAGCCAAATGCTTAACCAGGCCAAAATGCTTAACCAGCCAAATGCTTGCTTCCTGGGATTAAAGGCGTGAGTCACCATGCCTGGCTGTTTCCAATGTGGCCTTGAACTCACAGAGATCCGAGATGGATTTCTGCCTCGGAATGCTAGGATTAGAGGCATGTGCTATCACTGCCTAACTAGTGGCTTTTCTGTTCAATGACCCCAGATAAGTTTATTAAGGTACACAATATTTTGGGGAACACAATACCACCACAGATTTTCACTTGCAGGATAGAATTATGCAGTTTCAGAGGTAACTGTTAACACACCAGAACTACATAGAAAATTGTTTAAATACAGAAGATATATATATATATATATATATATATATATATATATATATATATGTGTGTGTGTGTGTATTATGTATTACATTATATATATATATATATATATATATATTACTAACTTCAAAATTTAAAGTTTTATAGTAGAATCATAATAATTCAGAATCATCAAATGAGTGTTTAAAACAAGCCTTTTACAATTAGGCAGAGTGGCTCATGCCTGTAATCCCAGAACGGAGGATTTTGAGACAAGATGGTTATAATGAATACAAAAACACATTTTACTTTACAATGATGTCCAGGCCACCCTGGGCTATTGAATGAGACGGCATCAAATATACAGCCTATTCATTGTATGTGCCACTGTGTGTGTGTGTGTGTGTGTGTGTGTGTGTGTGTGTGTGTGTGTGTGTTTGTGTGTGTGTGTGTGTCTGTCTGTCTGTCCCACTGCTTCTGAGATAATTGAAAGAAAATACTGGCCCGGCTGTGGTGGCGCATGCCTTTAATCCCAGCACTCGGGAGACAGAAGCAGGTGGATCTCTGTAAGTTCCTGGCCAACCTGGGCTAGAGAGTGAGTTCCAGGACAGGATCCAAAGTTACACAGAGAAACTCTGTCTCAATAAACCAAAAAAATAAAAAAATAAAAAAATAAAATAAATAAATAAATAAATAAAAGAAAATACTGATAAGTTTTGCACCCCGAAGTTCTCTCTCTAAACACAACAAACCAAATCAGACCCTGGGCTAGAGAAGTCCAGGGTACAGGGTAGGATATTCCAGCCAAGCCCTGTAACAAGTAGAGATTGATAGATGCTGGTAGAACCTGGAGGCTAGTGAGGGCTTGAACATATTAAATTAGTACCTCAGTCATTTGTCTGAGGGTTTGAGACTTAACATCCTTGGCTCTGATTGTTAGTGAAATATAAGTTGATAAGGACTTAAAAAATAAAACCCATGTGTTGAGAAGTAGTATTGATTTATTTGTTATGGACATAGTCTTAGGTCTTAAGAGTTGATCAGGCATTGAAGAAATGCTGTGGAAGCATGGGGACGTAAGTTTGTTTCCCTAGCCTATATGTAGAATAACCTGGTACAGCATCATAGGCTTTTAGTCCCATCGCCAGAGAGGTAGTAAGAGGATCCATTGATAGTTGGCCAGTCTAGCTATGTCAGAGAACTCTGGATTCAGTAAAGGACCCTATCACAAAATAAATGAATGTATAAGCAGACAAATCCATAGATGCAGTAAAGGAACATTGAGGTAGACATCCTGTGTTGACCTCTGACCTCCATGCTTGCAAATAAATAGGGAAACACATACATGAACACATACACCCTCATAAAATAAATTTTTACTGCTCCTACTACAATAATGGTGCTTCTTATTAATCAGGTAATAGATATGACCTTGATTAATCCACCTTTCCAAAGAACATAATTAAAAAACAAAAGCATTTGCTGTTCATCTTTTCAGGCCATCTCATTAAATTCCAAATATTTCACTTAAAAACCTGTCAAGCACAACATTTCTTTGATTCTTAGAAATTCTACTCATTTTCAGTTTTAGCCAGTAGAATGAAAGCAGCCCTAGTTTGAAAGAAAAATACTAATCCATCTATAATATTTATTGCCTAAGGTCTATATAGAAACTGCCTTCTGAATCTAACATCCAAGAGAAGGTTTAGACTAAAATTCGCAGGAATGTTCATACATTTTTTTAAGTGTCACCTATAGATTTTTCTGTAAAATCAAACAAAGACTTCCATTATAGCAAAATTTATAGCTAATAAAATAGGGTATTCTACTGCTGTGTAAATAAGGTATTAAATCTTACCATATCTCTGCCTTCTATCACTGTACATTTTATGGCCCGCAACTCAAACTATATTTGAGAGTACTAAATAATACTGTAGCAACCAAGAAAGGGATGTGTTCCATTCTTTTCTTATTATAGACTTCCTCAAAAATGCTATTCTTTTTTGTTAGAGGTTTAATCTATTTCCATTTAAGATTCTAACAGAAAGTCAAATTGAATTGAAATTAATTGATAAAACTCTGTGCTATTAAGTTCCTGGCATAATTGCTCACACTTTAGTTTGATCTTATTTAAGCCTGTATTTATTATTAACTTTAGATTATATGTTAATTAGGTTACCAGCAATGAAGGCTAGATGAATTAAGATACTCTCTCACTGCAGGTTTTCTACCTAAGTCCCACTGTGTGAGACTCAATTTATTATTCTTTTTGATTAAAAGGAACATATCAAGCTACTGACCCATAGATTCTTTAAACTAAAGTCTTAGTTGCAACCAAGCCTCCTGATGTTTAAAATAAATATTTTATTAGATGTTATATTAACTGGCATAATTTATTAACTGGTGACAAATGTTTAGAAAGGCTTTGCATACTTATGAATTCACCAGAATATCATCCTGCTGGGAGGGTGGAAACCCTGAAGACTTGTAATGAGCTACATATTCACATCTCCATTCCCATAGAGAAGCCATTACCCCATGGTGGTTATAAGGACATTTTTATATATGTGAGGCTGTGAAGAAGCAAATGATTTGCTTTAGCCAAAACGCATTTTTGAAACAACAGTTGCTTGCACTAAAGTTTTTAAAGTTTCAACATTAAGAATGAAATTTCTAGTCCAAATTGATTTGTTCTATTTGAGTTCAAAGTGTATTTTATCGAATTCCTCCTTTCCTTCAGTACTATGATACAATTTCCTCAATAATAGCATTCTAAGTAATTAAATCCTAGTGAGAGATGGGGGGGATGTGAGGCAGAGAGATGGAGAAAGGGGATACTATGTTTTTTGTCAACCATATAGTTAGTGGGTTTTAGTTTCTGTTTGAAAGCTCCTTATATTTAATGTGGGAAATTCAATTTACATGTTATTTTAATCATATATATATATATATATATATATATATATATATATATATATCAAATGACATACTAGAATAGTGATGGATTCTGATTAAGTAGATGTGGTATTTAATATTCAATCTGAATTTGGTAATTTTAAGACAAAAAGCAAATTGGGTAGTGGTGGTTCATGCCTTTAATCTCAGCACTCCAGAAGCAGAGACAGGCAGATCTCTGTGAGTCTGAAGCCACAGCCTGGTCTGCAGAGCTACTACCAGGACAGACAGGAGTACACAGAGAAACCTTGTCTTAAAAAAAAAAGAAAAGAAAAACCCAAACCAAAGAAAATCAAACAAAATAAAAAGCAAAAAGATAAAACCAGATCAGGTACCACACCGAGCTGGGAAAAAATATGCCTAAGAGATATCTTGCTTTGAAAACTGGGTACCAAGTTACTGGAAATGGAAGTTAACAGCAAAGCATTTTAGCATTTATAGGCTATTTCCTACTACTTTCTTTACCACATATTTATTAAAAATTCTTGAGAAAATAATCCTCATTTCATAAGTGAGTTTACTTATTAAAGATCATTTTTCTTTATTTCTATAAATATGTTCTAAAATATCACTAGATTGAGGACACACTAAAATAAATTCTGCAGTGTGATTGCAACTGACCTATGGTAGCTACATTTTAGACAGTTGACTTGACTGTCATGTCCAGTTATTTTGACAAATTGTTTACTGTAGTAGATGACCATTATAGTTGGATAGCCTTTGTATAACTTGTTAATAAGCCATAAGTGATTACATAAGGACTAGTTAACAATTGATACTGAAATTATATGAGCCATATGTTTAATGAATTTAAATAGATATTTGGCAAAGCGCACCATATTAATTTTAAATGTAAGCTATACATTTGTTTGGAAATTTTTTAAGTAAAATATATTTAAACTTTTTAAATTCCAGGAACAATACTTTATGAAATAATTGAAATCCAATATAGAAAAATAATAGAATTTGGTTCATTTTTTATGTTTTAGTATTATTATCCTGTAGTTTGCACACATGAATAAACTAATTAGCTTCCTGATGGTCCCAAAGCTCCTACTTGGCAGGCTTCTAGCTAGATAATTGAAACATCAACCTTTGCTCTATAATTCATAGTTTTAACTATAATCCTATCACTTTCCTTCTGATAATAATGATTTTTAAATAGTACTTATACAGCTCAATTGGAACTCAGTGTATAATCTGTAAAACATAGAAATAAAGGAAGTACAGAATTAAAAGAGTCAGATAAGAGTCTACTATACTAGGTTTCTTAATAGAAATTTTTC